ATTTTTTAAATAGTAACAATTTTTCCCCAAATAAATGTTGTTTACTAATTTTAGAAACTATTTAAACATTTTATGGTATGTTTTAAAGATACAATTTAGGTTAGTGTGGTTGATTAATTAAGGTAATAAATCACATCAAAATTTCTTTTGTATCTCAAGATATTCGCATCTATCACATTTCTAACAAACATTAGATTTAATTATGTATTTGTAAATTAATCACATCAATAGATAATATTAATACACATTAAATATTTATCATTATATAAAAAGGAAATATTACTTCTATAAATTTTATAAATAATATTGACATTAAACGATAATAAATTTTTGAATAAAATAATATTTGAGTATTAAGATGAACTAAAATATGTAAAATTATTACTTTTTTTATTAAAAAATAAATATATATGTTAAATGTTATTTATATTAATATAGACGGATCAACGGGCTACTACATTGTTAAAATAAAGTTCTGAAAAAATATTTGATAAATTGTTTTTTAAAATAAAATTCTGTAAAAATATTTTATATTACGAAATCGCCGTGCATCACGGGATTCTCACTAGTATAAAAGTAAAGGAGATTGTGTTCAAATTCATTTATACACATTTGAGAGGTTCAATTAATTATACTCTCAATAAATATTAAAAATAATGTAAATGAGATTGTGTACGTTGTTATGATCTCACTCAATTACAATACAAATTAAGGTAACTCTCATGTTTTATATTATAGTTTTTTTTTTCATAGGATTGTTTCCTCTTTTAATTTGGGTAAATAATATATATATATATATATATATATATATATTTAAGTAAAACCCAATCAACTATTGTCCTAAACTATATCCAACCAACAATGTCAAAATACAAGTATAATAGAGAAATTTTTTATATAACTAAAACCCAATTAACTATTGTCCTAAACTATATCTAACCAACAATGTCACAATACAAGTATAATATGGAAAATTGTGGCAGATAAAATAATCCACCTATTTCTTTTAGTTTTTAGAGTTTTTTTATATATTTTTACATCACTTATATTATTTTATTTTATTGTTTTTACTTTTAGAGGTAAATAATAGTTATTGCGGTAAAACCTAAAAATCATTTTTTTCTTTTTTTTTTTTTTTTTTTTTTTTGCTTAGGATTGATCATTTTTTCTGTTTTTATTTTATTTTATTTTATTTTTAGGGGTACATAATAGTTATTCCTTTGTTCCCTTTTGTTTTTATAGAATTTACTGTTTTTTTTTATATATATATAATTTATTGCTTTTATGATCATATATTTTTGTAGTGGTGCGCGCGATGAAAATATGAGTGATTAACATGTCATTAACCATTAATGATTCATTATGCTACTAATTTTTATTTATTATCATAAATAAGACACTTAAATGCAAGTATATATATTCATGAATTGCTCACTCGAAAAACGTTCAAAAAATTAAAAATAAAATTTAATGAAAAACAGTAACGGTTGATATATAGTACTAATAGACTAACGAAAACTAAATTAAGAATAGTAATTACCCAAAAGATTTTATTCAAGCGAACTAGACTGACTATAATAAATCAGATCTCGGTCCATCTGATCGGATTGTGTCCAACTCAGTTTAATTCATAAACAATGGATAAATCATGATTAATGTTATTTATATATTTAATTTATGGTACATGAATTGTAATATAGTTTTCTCGTGCATCGCACGGGCTACACACTAATAGTATTAATAGACCAACGAAAACTAAATTAAGAACATTAATTACCCGAAAGATTTTAATATCTATTTTACATGTTTTAGAAAAAGGGAAACCCTTCCAAACCATGGTTGATCGCTTGTTAAAGCTCGTGATTTGTTTGGCTCTTGTGTTGAATAACGGTCATCAAACCAATGGAGAAAGCTTTAACCTCAACATAGTTAACTTGACTTTGGTTTCAAATGCAGCGGAAAAAGGAGCCCGTGAGTTTTTCTTAATTTCCATCAAAAATTTAAATTAAACTAATAATTTAATAATCTAATTTTTCTAATTATTAGTATTTTATATTCCTTTAATTATGACGGAGTATTTTTTTTTTGGTTTAGTTTGTAACGACGGGTCCTCGGCAGCTTACTATTACGATCCAGGATTTGGCGATGGAGTCGATAGTTGGTTCATTACCTTACAGGTAGCTATTATAAAAACCAGAATTATCAAAAAAAAAAAAGATTTATTAATCTTTGATATGATAGTATCATATATAAATGTAATTTTGAAATAAGAAAAGTAATAATAATCACATAGTTCTAAAGTAATAATAATAATTTTTGACTTACGAGCTACTCTCTCTCAATTCATTATTAAATATCATTCTACAAAAATAAAAAATCATGTTATACATATATATTTTTTTTTAATATTTTAAATCATATATTTGGATATTAGTTTCCTAATTTGAGGTTTGGATTAATTTAGGGTGGTGGTTGGTGCTCTTCGGATGAAACTTGTACTTATAGATTAACAAATGGATTAGGAAGCAGCAAATACTATAATGAGACTGTTTTTTTCGGCGAGATAAAAAGCACAAACAAGACTGTGAATCCAGGTATATATATATATATATACACTAAGGTCTCGTTACGAAATCATTTTGTCGAAATTTGTAACCGTCAAATCAATATGTAACCGTTAGATATAGTTGATCTAACGGTTACAAACCACGAAAAAATGGTTCTGTAACGAGACCATAACATCTTCCTATATATACATGGTCTATGATGTTAAAATGATTATTATTCTATCACATATGCCTTAGTAAGCTCCATGTTTTGTTCATGCCATTTGATCACCACTTTAACTCTTTATTTCATCTTATTTTCTCATTAAAAATTTTATAAGAAAAAAATACAATTTGATGATTATCTAACTAATCGAAAATTTAATTTTTTTTTACACTTTATCTACTTAATTTTGTTTTTTCGTACACTTTGTTATTTTCGGTCAATGTTGACCACACGTGGCAATAAGGCACAAAAGCCACGTGTTGGATTATTAAATTATGAGGCCAGCAGTGATCGGAAATGACAGATTATACAAAAAAAAAAAAGTTAGGTAGACAAAGTGTATGATAAAAAAAAAGTTTTATAAGTAAAGTGTCAACTTTCAGAGAGTTAGGTAAGCAAATTGTAAATTTCCGGATTGTTGGGTTGATATGTTGTGTATATTATGTATTCTCTCTAAATTTGTATTTGTATTAATAATTACATTGTCCTATGATGATTCGTAGATTTCTATAATTGGAATAGAATCGTTGTTGAATACTGCGATAGCTCATCATTCATGGGAAAAGCTAATCATCCTGTGAGTCATCTAAGAATCTATGGAACTTTTTATTCCTCCATCTTTACTTGCATATTCTTAAAAGGACACATATATAGACATTTACATTTTCAATATATGTGTGTATATATACTTTAATTAATAAAATGTTAAATTTTCAAAAATAACTCATAAAAGTATAATATTTCATTTAATAAATATAGATCTTTTAAGTACGGGTGATTTGCTTAACCATTTTTTATGTATAACAAAAAAGAAAAAGCAAAAAAAAAAAA